GGAAATATTAACTGCCCCCCCCCCCCACTTTCCATATAAGTATTTTAAACAACCTGCTTTATGGAGTTTTTTGGAAAATGAATTGCTCAGGACATTGGTAATATACAGCCTTCCAGCTTTAAGTAGCTTAGTCAAGCCCAGACAAGTGGTAGCAACCAAAGCTGTTAAATGCTGGCTGAAGAATGCCCACCTTTAAAACCATGGTAAGCACCTGGCTCTAATTACCAACCAATTCACTTGTACGTGTGGGCAAGCCTTCGATTTCTCACGCAGGTTGGCAATTCTGAAAATTTAAGCACTATCAGTAAATAAAATGACCCCAGTCCCTTTGAAATCTATGATTTCAGGTGTGCTGTGTTACCCCAGGGTGGTCATCTCTCACCCAATTCTCAGATACAGCATGGCAAAAACTTCCCAAGTTTGCACATCACGATGGCCCCTAGACATCTGTCTGCTAAATTTAACATCTGCACATGAAACTTCTTTAACAGCCACTGAACATAACAGGTGTCTCACCTCACACTGCAGGACAAACTGCTTTCCACCTTTAATTCTCAGCAAGATGCATTTCTTATCTTTAATCTGAGTTTCTTCCACAGATACTATTTGCTCCATTGTCAGTAGATTTTGCTAAAGTACATTGCAAAAATAAAGCAGAATTACACCTTGAAACTGCTGGCCAACAGAATCCTAATTCATTTAGACTAGGCCTGTGAATAGTTACTAACCTATCTAAATGGATTTGGCCCTTAGTTTTTAGTGACTGATACATTGACTAAAAATAGCAAGAGAGTGGACTCAATGAAATGAAGTAATCAATTTGCTTGTATAAGTAGAGATAAATATACTCCAAAGAGCAAATTATAACAGCATGACTAGATGCTATAAAAGAGAGATGTTTCCTTTGACATCTAAGCACATGACGGTGGACACCAGGAAGGGTAATGAACAGGGGAAAGATCATTCAATATATGTATCAGGTTCAATGATCTCCCTGTAAAGTATCCACTCCTTCATCTGTCAGAGACGGGATACCGAGCTGGATGAACCCTCGCTCTGACCCAAGCTGGCACTGATTAGGTTCTTATGGGGAAAAAAACGTTTCCCCAGAAAACACAATTACATTTCACATTATTTACTTCCTAAATATTATTTGTGTGAAACATTTTCATCTACTGTTAAATAATCTTGACACTAGCCGAGTGCTGAAGGGGAATACAAGAGCACTACATATCTATATGTATGCCTACAAGAGGCTTTGTATAAAAGTTTTCACTCAGTGCTGTGATGCACGAACAATGAGTTCAAAGTCTCAAGAAGTAACATAACTAAATACAGAGATGACATCCCTAGAACAAGATCACAAGTGGACTGATCTACAGGTACTATAGCATTTCCTTTGAAGTCAAATGCTATAGAGTTTCTATCACCTTACCAGTTTATGTTTTTTTGGATATATACACCAGAGATCCTAAATGAAAAACAACATCATCATGAACTACCAAATTCTTTAAAAAAATGATTTTGCAAAGTCAATTTTATAGCTCTTAGAACTGACGCAACCACCTAACACAATAAAAAGCTACTCAAAGGGTACTCAGTGGGCGTGTCTACACGTTCATTGACGCACCATAGTCACTGCACATTTAGTTTAGTACTTGCTTAATGAAGTACTAACTAAAGGAGCAGTAACAAGAGTTACTGCACAGTAGCGCTGGCACAGTTATTTTGTGACACTTACTGAGCATTAGCCTAATAACACTAAGCAGTAAGCTATTAGCACAGTTTTTAACCACTGGGCTACACTACTGAGCAGTGTTATTAGGCTTGTGTAGATGCACCCAGTGTGAGCAAAGGTGCGAGCATATTGCCATCACCAGTTACTCAGGCAAAATTCAACAACTTCCATGGAGCATGTGGCTGCATGCGGACTTGCAGGTCTAGCCCACACTGCCTGCCTGCCTCTGATACCTCCTGACAACAGTATTAGCAAGTAATTATGCTTACCCGAGATTCTCCTTCTCCTCGCCATTCAAGTCGGTTTGGAAAGAGGTAAAAGTAACGGCGTTGCCACTGAGTCAAAAATGGATTCCCCAATTTTAGCATGTACCCATGCATAATACAGTCCTTCCCTAGTGCATAATCTGGGATAAAATAAAAATGTCATTATGGCAAGTAAAGCTACAATACAGAGCACTCTAGAAATAGGACATGTTCAGTAAAAGCCTACTCATGCTTTTCAAAACCTCTCAACCAAAAATTGCACACACCCACTACTCTCTGGATCAAGTCCCCTGCCACGAGCAAGTCCCCTGTCGCTTTCTAGTTATTACACACACATACACACACACACACACACACACAGACCCAGTTCTGCTCCCAATTACATCTAAGGTCAATGCAACTGTACTAGAGTAACTGAGAACAGAACCTGGCTCTGTTGAAGAAGACATCTGATTCCTAGCTGAAAGCATGAACTGCAAAATCTTGCATAGCAACCTATCTGGACAAGCTTGCAGGCTTGCAACAGGACTCTTCTGCTTGACTTCAAGTGTCAAAAAAGACTTCTTCAATTTGATATTACTTTCCCCACCCCTGACTCACTTAATTAAGAATTTATCAGAAGACCTGAAGGAACAATACAAACAGAAGGCTGCAGATAACACACTGTAGGGCAGGGACCGTGGCTGTGCTTTTGACACCTTTTTCATTTAATAGCAATTCCAATTTAGAGCTCTTGTGATGAGCTAGCCTGCTGGGGCTGCTGCTTAGCATATATGAGGGAAGCAATCCTTGGGTTGCTGGCACCACCATTTGGATGAAGAAACATGCCCATGTTTCAGTGCCATCACTCATAGTTTATTATAGGTTATTAAAAAAACACACAAAGGAAAAGCTTTGAGCTATGTTGAGAGAGCACACAAAAACAATATGAATCAAGTGGTGGTAGAGGAGGGGGAGGGAGAATTTGGGACAAAATGCATCCTCAGCACAAAGTAAAAGCTGAGCGGATGCAGGTCAATGCACAATCTGGACAATGATAATGGATCCACTATAGCGGATCTATTACCAAACAAAACATCCCAGTAGAGTCATCAGTCCATGGTATACCAGGCAAGGCATTACATTTAGTTTAATGGCTAGGTTTTTAATTTACGATACCCATCCTTGCCACAAATTAAAATCCAGGATAACCTGAAGATAGGTTATACTTGAAATCAACTCAAGGCACCACAAAGTACTCTCTCTTGCCTTTAAAGTATTTATTTGTGGCTCTTTGAAAAAGGCCAAATGATCTATTTATAAAACATCCCAAAGCATTTTCAGAAGCTAGTAGAGATTTCATTAACTATTATAGAAATATGACAAATAAATTAATCAAATTTAATGAAATCCAGAGGACTATTTAGAGATGGGGCACAGATGCCACAAGGGGAACAGGCAGCCTGGGCATGGCAGGTGGCAGCTTGGGGATGGGAAAGGCAATACAGTGGCAGAAACGGCAGGAAAAGTGAGGCAGGAAGCACAGGAATGAAAACAGAAAGCAGAAGAAGGGATCGGGCAGGGAGCACACGACTGGGAGCAGAAAACAGAGCAGCAGATCAGGCAGGGAGAGAGGATCAGAGTAGCGCTCAAGGAAAGTGCAGGGATCATTTGTGGCACACCCCAAAAACATTCGCCCCCACTGATTTAGAGCATGATCTCTAAGGATAGCTCATGACTGACAATATAAAATAACAAGGTGCTCTTGGGAACATGCTTACTACCAGGCATGCAACATACTGCTGGTTTTACTTAATGTATTACCTTCCTCGTGTCCAAGCTGCTTATTTTTGGCCCTTTTCCTGGCCTCAATTTTATCTGTGTCTGCATTTACTGCATCGTAGACGGTTTCCGCTACTTCTTGCTGCCAGCGTTCTGATATCACCAGAGGGAAGTTCTTATACAATTCTTGGTCGCTATCAAGCAACTATGGAAGAAAAATGTCATAAAAAGAGGATTTTAGTAAGCTCTGCTCTCACTATAGACACGTGATGATTCCAAGGCCGCATTAGACATCATTTTAGAAGACCAGATTCTGACACTGTTTAAAGTAAAAGACGGCCTGTAGTTTTGTACAGGGTACAAAATATTAGTTCCTTGGGGGCGATCGAGTAAAAACTGTTCGGTATGATAGGTCTGAAAGTCTTGTTCGATAGTGCCCCGTCATGTTCTGTCGCCATTATATTTAAACAGATATTTTATATGGCTGAATTCTTAACACAGTTATACAATCAGTGTCGAACGCATGTCAAATGGTTTTAAAAGCACTTTCAAGAGAAAAATTCTGATTAGAAAAAACCTGTAAAAATGGATCCTACGCTGATATGAAAAGGCAATTTCCCCACAAAGATGCTTTTCCATGCTTCCACAGTAACTTCACGTCACTAATAATTCACCTTTAAAATACAGTAAATGTTAGCTGCTCATTTCACCAAATTTTCATGTCACAAAGCCCTTTTCCCTTCCCACACTAACTCCTGCATTTCAGTTGCATTTAGCACAATGCAGTTTAAGTTATTGGCTCCGTGAAAAGGAGCACTCTCTTGTTGTTTGATACAGCGACCTCGTGGGCTGAATGCATTGGCACCAAGTCTGTAGTACAGAGCTAAGCATGACCTATATATTTTCCTCCAAAAGATGATTGGTGCTTTCTGTTTCAGACTCAGTCTTCAGTGATGCTCCACCCCTCATCTCAGCTTGGCTATCCGTTCATTCATTGCTCCAGCCCTCTTTGGAAAAGCTGGACTTCCCATTCAGAGAAGCATGGTAAGGTTTCAGAGAAGCATAGTAAGGTGCTCACTTCGCTTGGCTAACCACAAAGGATGTCAACTAGAGCCAAGCAGCAGAGGACTGAAGAGAACATGCACACTCCTGGGCTCCAGCAAGGTCAAGACTTTCCAGCAGAAAGGAAAGAAAGCCATGCTTGTTCCCTCCCACCCCACTAAGCCCCTTATAGATTTAAGGCTCAGCAGGCAAACTCGTCCTGGAAGAAGAGCTCTCATTTCCAAAGGGATATGGGCAGACCCCACGCATGTCAAAGGCCCTTGGGGTCACGCAGGCTCTCAGACCAAAGGCCTCTTCTCTGAGATGTCACAAGGGCCAATTTGAACGTGAGGTTGCTCACAGTGAGGGGTACGGAGAACCACTGAGGAGTGAGAGCAAGCTGCGGGGTGAAGTTGCAACGGGGCAGAAGAAGCTTCCCTTCTGTTTTATTTAAGCCAAACAAGCCCTGGAACCAAGAGCATGATTCCCAGAGACAAACCTGGCCATTGCATCCTTGCACTAACAGTCTGCGCTTGGGGCTGTTCATCCCAAATGGTTCTGATGCAAAGCAAAAATAAAATCATTATGGCAAGACATGTCAGCCAAGGGTCTAATAGATCTGTGGGGAAAAAGCAACCAGACCCCTCCCTTACACCCCAAAAAAACCCCAGCTAATGCCAGGCTGAGGATTACCAGCTGCAAAAAGAAGGAACAATAACTGAACTCAATAATATAAATTGGGAACGCATTCTACCGACCTCTGCCTAGCACCCGATTACCCTGCTGTTATATGACATCCTATCAGCTGTTGCCTGGTTTGCTGACAATCACTGGAGCAAAGACGATGTTGAGCTATTAGATGGATAAAGAGGCTCTGCTCTTGACTGGGGCCTTTGGGCGCTTCCCTTGTACTCATCACCACAGACCGTGGAAAAGAAATATAACAATTAAGAGCTCGTATCCAAACAGTGCCATTCTTCTCAGCAAGCTATAAAAGCTGTTTTTCTGAAAACCTTCATTCTTCTGGGCCTGACTGAGATGTACTAGACTATTCAAGTCCTGACAAAAGGACTATAAAGTCTTAGCCGAAGCGTAAACTGAAGAAGCAGGTCTCCACACAACATTGCAACTCTCACTGACTCATGACTCAGGGAATAAATATAACTAATGTACAACCTAGGCAAAGAATAAACTGTGATGAGAGAGCAGCTTGATTTACAAATACATGCCTTGCTGAAAACTTAAGATCCCCCAAATATTTAAAAAGGACAACCTAGTTGCTCCTCACAAGATCATATTTACCTGTGTTCCCAGAAATGAGATTTACTACTACTACTGATGGCTCAGGAGGAGTCTTCTAAGGTAGAAAAACATTGTTTGTTCTTCATATTTCTTCCTGAACATCTAAAACCCACTTTATGCCAACTGCTGGTAATTACAGAAGGTGACAGTGACAGACAAGCTCCCATTTTAGGCACTGTGGGTAGTTAATATGTTTTTGCTTAGGAAGTTTAGAGCAATTAGTTTCTCTCCTGACTCACTCCTCTAATAACAAGAATAAAGTTCAAGCTATAAAAGAAAAGTATGTTAAAAATAATGAAGGGGAGATGCCTTTGAACCTGAGCATTAAGCTCTCCCATTATGTATAGCAACTGAGGAGGTTTCAGAGCAGAAGACATAATAGTATATTAGGTGCTGCATTAGATAAGCATGAGAAATTAAGTTAAGAATGGAATAATTGTAACCTTAAGTTTCTTTCCTTTGCATTGTTTAAATAGGTTTTAGTTTAATTGTAATGCTAACATCTAAGAAGATCCATAAGAACATAAGCGATGCCGCACTGGGTCAGACCACAGCTCTGTCTAGGCCATTTTCCCAGCTCTCTCTCGCAGTGGCAGAGAACAGATGCTAAAGGGGGAAAATATTTAAGCAGGCCATATCCATACTGGTCTGTCTCCTGCATTCTCCCCCACATTTTTCAGCTTTCAGACACCTGAGAAGTCCTAATTTTGAAGTTGCAATGGTAATTACCTACCTCACAGGAGCGTTAGAAGGATTCAAGTTCTTAATATGGTCTGAAGTTGTAATGGACAAGATAATGTTAAGTTGCAGTCATGCTACTACACACATTTTTCTCTCTAATGTGTCATATGGACTCTCTACTGCATAATCTATCCTCGTTTGATATACTGAACTCCCACCAGTATCTCCAGGAAACATATCTGTGGAAACCCAAGGGAGAACTGTACCAAGAATAAAATTGCCATGGTGGTTAGGAGAGAGGAAAATTTCATCCGGAATGTGTCAGAGGTGGGAAAGTTATTGAAATAGCTACTGGATGCATGGAACATACAAATCCTTGCGCGGTTATGCAATTGTGTTTTCTCCATACCAAGAACTAGCTGCATGAAAACCTTACCCTGGAATTCTGGTGCTGTAAAACATGGAAACATGCTTTGGAAAACTTGAGATGTTTGTCCAAATGCTTTATAAACTGAAGTTACTTAGCCATCTGATTAACCTATATTCACCTGAGGCTAAAGAAACTGAACTTCAGTCCACCTAGAACGTAAAACAAATATACCAACACCTGTAAAAAAAAAAAAACCTTATTCACTATAACTTGCTCTATTATCTATCATTAAGATTCTAAAGCATGTAACTATACCCACTGAAGTATACAAAGTTATACGCACCCTTACAGTGAAGCGTGAGTATAACTAGAACCTGTACTGACTGCCAAAAACTGTCATTCAAACTCTTCCATCCAAAAGTATAAAGATGACAGACTTATGGAAAAATATTCTATATATACCTTAATGCCTTTTGTGTCCTCTTCATCAAAGGAGCCAATATCAAATGCATCTGCGGCGTTTACTTCTCCCCGGGGAGGAATCAATGGTGGAGGGTACTACAAGTCAAAGGTGGGAAGGTATAGTTTACACAGCCGATTTCTCAATTAACGTACATTATTTCAGTTCATTCTGCATTCATACATGTCCTTCACAGGGTCTCAAACCAAAAGGCAATACCAAAAGGCTCCTCAGTAAATACCATTCCTTCAGCAAAACATCTTCTAAAGACACCCAAAAGATCTCCTAGTATTGTTTATCGAGAGTCAGAGGGCAGAAATGATTTAAAAGATAAGGCAAGATTCTCCCAAGCAGTTATTTGAAGCTGTGCACAGGGGGACCACAGTGCTCCATATCAAAGCTCTTCACTCACTAACACTGATGTTCACATTTTACACCAACGTTGCTCTTAAATCAACATGGATGTTATGGGCTACACCAGGTACAAGGCAGGGAGAATTGCTCCATTATCTTATCTCAGTCTCCTTACCTTCTTTGTACTGCTTTATAATAAGAGTTGCTTGGATTTTTAATGTATTTACCTTTTGTAAATAGACCTGCTGCCAGTCAATCCCTTTAAAAAAAGGATGCTCTTTTACTTCTTGTGCACTGCAAAAGACAAAAAAAAGTGGCTCAAAAACCCAAAAAGAACAGATTTCTCAGATTTCAGAAACATATTTCTAAACTACTGATTTAAATTAGAAGCATTAAAGATTGAATGTTTCCATCAAAGCCTCAGTAAAATATATTTGTATTTAGGAAAATGAACTCCCTTCTCAGCACAGAAGAGAAAAAATAAATACTTGAACATGGAAAAATGGTTATAGCTAAATCAATGCTTCCAAACACCTACACCTTCCTAGTATGTATTACTGTCTTAAATACTAAACCATACACTTGTTAGCAGAACCTGTAAGTGGTTCCCAGCTCCCAGTCTCCCCTATTCAGTGTGTTAACTTTATTTTTATCTTGAGATTGTTGCCTACATAATGGAACCCTGAATTTAAGAAGCAAGTGTGTATTTTGTTAGTGTCATTCAAAGCCCCCCAATATCACTGTCCACAGACATGTCTACACATAAGGGAGTTGGATGGTTAAATGATTCAACTGCTTCAGCAATTAACTGTGGGGGCAAACTAGGAGGAGGCCAGGTTCTCAAATATTCTCAAATACTTTCATGCTAAAACTGCCAGCAAACACTGACCTTTTCTTAACAGTGACAAGATGGCCACATGATTTAAAATAAGCTAATAAGCACAGTCCTCAAGACAGCTGAGTCAAGACATAGTTGCTTCTTGAAAGAGAAAGCCAGATCAAGCAAAAGCATGAAGGCTACAGAGCAAGCAAAAATGTTTGACATGCAAAATAAAATTAAGCTAACTGCCATCAAACCCAAAAAATACTCAGAACAAACTTAGCTATAATTCCTGCATAAACTTCCATCACAAAAAGAAATATTTTAGCCTGCCAAGAATACAAAGCAGGCTGAAAAAAACCTCTATATGGCACTTTAATACCTTCTTGCCAGCACTAACATGTTACAGCAACAGGAAGCAGATTTTAATGTAAAATACAGTAGGTCCTTCATTCAAAGTGACAAAGGAGTCAGAGCCTACCTTCTACCCTGGCAGCCGAGCCTCTTGCTAACATCTCGTTGTAGAAGCCCTTCCAAAAGGGACTTCAGTTCAGGGGAAAATGAATCTGGTAACTCCACATTCTGAGTGAAAAAGCAGCAAGAAAATAATCATTGTGCAACATTATGGAACCAGTTGAGTCTTGTGCTATCAATCCTTTGAAATGTTTATGGGCATAGCTCCTGCATGTATTCATACTGAATAAAACGGTTTTTGCACCAAGTAGATGCTGCACAGCTGATGCATTTTTTTTAAGAGGAAATGTAATTAGCAAAGCATGAAAAATATAAATGAACTATCATTAGAATCCTTACCACGGTGAGTGTCATCCGGTCGATCTCATGCTTATCTTTGGTTTTGTGCTGTCTGAAAGGACTGTGACTGTAGAAATAAGAAAATGTACTAATAAATGTAAAGCCATAACATATCAGGTTATTTCAGCTGTGGCAACCCTGGAAAAGAGTGTAGCATCCTGTTAGTCCCATTCTTCAAACTGCTCAATCCCTGTCCTGCAGAACAATAAGACAAGCAGTGAAACATTTAGCATTTCCACTGAAAAATTAGACTTCTCAAACAATGAAACACAATTCAAAACTGCAAGTAGGAATCACCCTACAATATCTGAGTTGTTTTGCAGGCCCTTCATTTACTTAAATACTCTGCAGAGCTTTGAAAAAGCAAATTCTTCCTAACGATTTGGTAGTCTGCGACTTCATACAAATATTACAATTGTTCTAGAGGACAGAGATCTTTACCCCTTTACTGACTACACCCAAATATCCCCATTAAGATAATTAAACTAAGGGAAGCCTATTCCTAATATACATCCAGATGGCTAGTTAATTCATGTGTCCAATCTAAGTAATGATTCCAGTACTTATACATCAAGTACTGAAGTACTCATTGATTAAGTACCCTATAAAATAAATAGTGTCAGCTTACAGGGAAATTCTTTGCAGCTACCAGATGGCTAACCTCTTTGAGAACATTTGTTAAAAATGTCTACCAAAGAAAACTGAATACTTTCTGCAGAGCTGCTTATGTCCTTGCTATACAGAAAGTACATAGCGAGAGGTTAGATTTACAAGTCAAATACTACCTGGTGGGGGGGTGACCTGCACAGTCTGTATAGACAGCCCCTGCTACAAATGCATGATTAGGGTTAGGTGTAACAGTTCTTACATACGACACACCAAGGAAACAGGGCTGTTTCGGTGAATGTGAAATGTGTTATTCTATTTTGCTCCACTGCAGTAGATTTTGAAAGGATATAATAAATTATTTTCTTTCTACATATTTAGGGTTTTTAGAACTGTTGCAGTTCTTGACATGGCATTATTTTTAGTGCAATCCTTGAATACCAGCCTGAAAAATAAAAATTAACCAGGAGTTTTTGGCTAGTTGATTATAGCTGAGATTTATTCTCTGTTTTCTAACAGCTGGGGTTCATGAAGAATGTTTGCTTTCAAAAATGTAATATCTGTCCTATTAATCTAAAAATTGTAACGAACACTGGTGGGGTGCCTCCTTACATCTGGAATTCAAAAGCTATCTATCTGCTCACATTGCTTTACAAAGAGCTAAGATCTAGAGCTGAAAAGTGCTTTGTAAGTGATCGCTATTAGTTATCACTGAATGCATCTGCCCAATTTGACAAAGCAAATGGAAAAATCTAGCTAATGATCATCGTTTGTGAACAAAGATGAGAGGACCCTGACTACCTTAAATGGCCATTTTTGTTTTAGCATCAATAAAATGAAATCGACTGTTTGCAACAAATACTTGCTGACTAATACTTCTTAGCTTTTGAGATAAATCTACCAGTCTTCTAAAGTTCTACATAGCCATATATGTCTGCTGGAAAAACAAAAAAATTACATTTCAAAAAAAGCGAAAAAATCACATTCTGCTTTTGGATGCCTCCAGACAAAAGATACATTAGGACTTACCTAAAACTACCCACGGGAAGAGTTAATAGGAGACTATAAAATGGAAGATAGATTCAGCAAAGGGACCCTCACTGCAAGAAAACATTATTAGCATAATGGGAAAACCATTAAAGTACTACTAGCCTTTTTAAAATACAGCAGCGTATAACCTCACATCCTCTACAAATGTTCACTTGTCCACAGGTAAAGCATACATTTCCATTTCTAGCTAGAAATGGGTAAGTATGAAGCTGTTCACACCTTTTTAAACTTTCTGACCTACTGAAACACAAAAATCTCAAACAATCCCCTCCCCATTTCTAAGTATTCCTATCTACTTGGAAGGCAGGTCACACCATCGCTTCTCAATACCTAATGAAACAGTGCTTGCACTATGATGAAATTAAATTCTGACTCCGGTTTACTTTTAAGGGGAGTCCGTTCTTTTTCTCTCTCTAATTTTGAAGGGCTGAGGGCTTCATGTTTTTTAAGCTCACTTCAAGGCTGCGCTAAATCAGTTTACTTCTTCCCTTGGGAAACTTATTTTTCTATGATAACCCTGTTTATTAAATTATTTCCACCTGACATTTACAACCAATAAAAGTATGGTGCATTTTCAATGGCATTAATTATTACACTGAATCCCAAACAACTGATAACATTGTAAATATGCTAGAAAAACTACAATACAGAAAAAGACAACAAGATTACATTATGAGCCCAATAACAATTGTTTTGGAGGGGTGGGGAGAGGAAACCGTATCAGGCCAGTTTGCCGGAAAAGTCTTTAACTAGTTTAAAATAAAAAATTCACAGAATTAATATAGACCAAATGTTTTTCATCCAGTGAAATAACTATAACACTGAAAAGAAAGACATTTAAGCAGCACTAACATAAAACTTATCTCTGAAACCATTTATATTTGTACCTAGGCACAAAGGTACGTACTCTGTGTGAGATTTTTCTAATTTTAGGCCTGTCGTGGCTTATGGTTCTAGCATCTCTCTCTCTGCCCTTTTTAATGCAGATTTCAACTTTTGATATGTCAATCAAGTTTGGGGGGTGTTTTTTGTAATTTTAGATCCAAATGAGAGTGGATATTTCACAGCATTAAGGAGCTGTGACTAATAAGAGATCAAGTAAATAATATCAGAAGACCTTCACTGCCACATTCAAGCCCTGTGCCACATGTGGTCTTCTCAAGGACAAACAGAAGTGTACGTAAGGACCAAGCATAGACTGTGACTCACAGGGGCCTGTTCTCTTCCAACATACAGGACACGTATGCAAGGAATACCCATGAGCCTGAGCAGATGCAGTTAGAGCCTGTGAAGACT